CCCAGGCTGGCCTCGAACTCACAGAGATCCGCCTGGCTCTGCCTCCTGAGTGCTGGGATTAAAGGCGTGCGCCACCACCGCCCAGCCTATGTCATAAATTCTTATACCTTCTTACTTCAGTGGTCACTGAGCATGAGCATGTGCAAACACACACACTATTTTTAAAAATTAATTAAATTTGAAAATAAAAACAAAAATAAGGTGGAAACTGACTGAGGAAGATTTCTGATATCAAATTCTGGCCTCCACATGCACACACACACACACACACACACACACACATACATACACACACCTGAACACACATGTGTATGTACACATACAACATAGACATACATGCAAACAACCTTGTAGTTAGTACAGAAAAGATAAATGAAAAACTGTACAGGTTGAAGGAACAGTTACAATGTCAAAAATACTTCCACACTATTGCTTGGGCGGCAAATGCATGCTGAAAGAGATGCTATCTGCATAGCAGAGCCAAGAAACTGAGGGTACACCCTGGCTCCCAAGGCTTGGGCTCAGAACCTGTTTCTGTCCACTGTGTCCATCCGGTGACCTTGAACCACCAGCAATTATTACAAGATTGGCAGTCATGAATAAAACTGGTGAGCCTCAGGTAGGTTATAGTGTGGGACAGGACTTTCTCATGCACATCTGCTGAGAGCATGCATTTCCTTTCATGCTCTGTAGTCGAGGACCACTTTCTGTGTCCTAAGTCTTCTAAGTCTACAGGAGCATGCCTCCTCAGGTCCACCTTCTGAAGGCGGTAGGGTTCCCTCTCCAGTTCCTCATCTGAATCACTAATGTGGATATTTATCCCATGGATAAAAAATATATTGTGTGATATCATCACTTAAAACATACACATGGGGCTGAACAGATGACTCAGCAGTTACATGCGCTTGATGCTCTTCCAGAAGATGAGCCTGCATCCCAGGACTCCTACTGGGTGGCTCACAACTGTAACTCCAGCTCCAGGGAATCGAATGCCTTCTTTCTGGCCACCGCCTGTAACCCCACACACACACACACACACATGTACATACCTACTCACAAACACACACGCACACATACATAACAATATTTAAATATTTTTAAATAATAAAAGGTACATAATCCATGTTTGTAGGTGTGTATGGAGGAAGGACCA